TTCTGCTAACAGCTGGGGCTGGATGCAAATCCCCCAGGTTCCCCAGAAGCTGAGCAGAGAAAGACTACAGAAAGAGAACTAGCTTTGCTTCATTCAGCCTCCCAGGAGCTGTTATCTGGGGTCTGATAAGGCAAATCCTCCTTATCACTTCAATTAGGGCAGGATGGAGGCCCAGGAAGAGAAAGTGCAAGACCCAGGGCAGGGCTGGGAGGGCGGGCGCCGGGCACCAAGCCCAGGACTAGGCGCTTTACCGCCCTGCCCCAGAAGGCGGCAAGGGACAGCTCACCTCAAAGAGCAGAGATCATCTCGATAAACGTACCTTACGAATATCCAAAGGGGTTCTATTAAGACCTGTGTATGCTACAGAGGAGTGAGCTGGATTCAGAGAATACACGACTTACTCATAGCTGGTGGTCACGGCTCTCGATGCGGGAGAATTAGACCCCAGGACCAACAGGAAGGTCAGTGTCCCTCCCCATAAAGTAGCTAGACCCTCACTTCCTGCCTAGGGGAAGAGGCAGTGACTTACTTGCCCAAGGACACTCGGCTGTTCACTGGCACAGCCGCTCAGCCCAGCGGACTTTCTATCCCAAGCTATCCTCTCTACCAAGAAAAGCAAGATTCCCAGGAAGGGCAGGAGACACCCCACCCGCAGGCGCAGTAGTTAAAGGACCTCTAAGCCCATAGAGTGTGCCCTGCACCATCCTGGGTCTGAGCTGCCTGCTCACGGCAGCCCCTGGTGGAAGAGGAGAAGGGTGGTCATCAGAATCACAGCTGCAACTTACTGAGGTTTCTGGGTGCAGGGCACCCTTCAGATGCTTTCCACATGTGAACACATTCAGTCCCCAAGACAACCTGGGAGGTGGTTTTTATCTGCCACAAGGAAGCACACAGAGGTTAAACAACCTACCCCGGCCCGCAAAGCTAAGAGGTGGACCTCCAGTCCCACAGCAAGTGTCCAACACCTACTGTGTGCCGGGGGGTAGAGCGCTCCCCAGGGCACTAACGCCGTCCACTGCCTGAGCTAGGACTTGAACAACTTCAGAAGCATTACGATTTATAGGTTCTATTTGTTCTCCCACCCACACACCTACAGAGCACACAGTAGGGCACCAGGCACTCAGAAAACTCTAACCCTCACAATCATCTGCTAGTTCACTGTTAAAACGAGCGTCCCCATTTCACAGATGAGGAGTACGAACTCACCAGGGGGTTCAGGGAGGGCACGCCAGGCTACAGGTGCTGTTCCAGCCACTGCCTGGAGTCACCTGAGAACTCACTGTGTTTAGGGAACGGAGAAAAGTGCCAGCCTCCTGCCCTGGGCAGCCTACACCTGCCCAAGGGACCAGCAGTCACCCCAGCCACTGGCTCAGTGGGCATCAGCACCAGGTCTGGCACAGGGCAAGCAAAGGATGGAAAACAACATTTCCTGTAAGCTGACTGTGTGCCTGGCTAGCTCTTCCGCTTATTAAATTATAAATGAGTATGTACCCTTCCTGTTTCTAGAGAATGGGCAGAAATGGCCACCCGGTCACCGATGAGAAAGTTTAATAGAGAAAGAACAGAAGCTGGGGTCGGGGAGGAAGAAGGCACTCAGCTGGGAGGGCCGTTGTCAACTAACTTGAGGCCTGGGACAAGTGTTCCCTGACTTCCATTAGCCCCGGTGGTTTTTTTTTGTTTTCCTGTTTGTTTTTATTTTGCTCTGTTTTTCTGTTATTTTTTAAGACAAGGTTTCACCTTGTAGTTCAGCCTGGCCTTGAACTTTCAGTGATCCTCCTGTTTTAGACTGGGGAGAGCTGGGATTATAGGCAGGCACCCCCACACCCAACCCAGCCTCAGTGTTTAATCTGTGAAATGGGAATAGTAACGACTACTTCAGAGGTTACTGAGGCATTCGGTCAAGTAACCCACATCAAAACCAAGTGGTAGCCAGTGTCACCAGCTACCACCCCGGGGCCCATCCTCTAAGGTCCCGTGTTGGTGGTGGTCATCTCGAGACTGACCGTGACAAACATCTACTGACAAAGAAGGGCTTCTGACAGGTTCATCTATTCACCCAGTGTTTGTCAGGGGCTCACCAGGTGCCAGACAGCTCTGGGTCCCAGGGTCCCACAGTGAGGGACAGCAAGCCTGTGGCAAGAAGCAACAAGCTACAAAATGTACAGATCGAGGATGCCTTATCTGAAATGTTTGGGATACGAACAGTTTCAGATTCAGATCTTTTGCGATTTTGGACTTAGGGGGCCAGGGATTTAGTTCAATGGCACCACAAGGTCCTGAGTACCAAAAAACCCCCCAAAAAACATTGGACTATCATCTTGATGGTCCACACCTGCGATGCCAGCACCCTGGGAGCTGAGGGAGGAGGAGGATCCCTGAGCGTTCACGGCCTTGAATCCTCTGTGGGCTACATAGTGAGTTCAAGGTCAGCAACAAGACCCTGTCTCAAAAAACAAAACAAACCAAAGATGCATAGTGAGATATCTTGGGGAAGCACAACAATGCTAAACATAAAATTCATTTACATTTCATAAATTTTATACAAATGCACCTGCATTTTGATAGAAATCCATTATATGAGGTCAGTGCCATTTCCCTCTTGGGTCATGATACGAGCACCCAGGAGGCTTTCAGATTTGGAATGATCAACCCGTACACGCAGATGGGTTTTCTGTTGTGTTTTGTTGTTTTAGTACACGCATCCACGAGATGTTAAAAGGATATTCAGCAAACAGTAACCGCGGCTGCCTCTGTGAGGTGAGCTTAACCGTTATTTTTGGATTTTCGTTGTTGTTGATCTATCTGGACTTTTTGCAACAGACTCATACTAATTCGATAAAAAGCAAATAGAGTAACTGCAAGTTTTTTTAAAAAATGGGTTGAGATTCCTGGCACTCAAGGCAAAAAGGGATAACATTACTACTTCTTCAAAAGAGGCAGTTTTTCTTGGCATGAGTTTGTATTTAGGACACTGGCAGCTTTCACTAAAAATGTCCTAAAATCGTTTCTCCATAAATCAGACATAGTATACCACAGGCGTGTCCTAAATCCCCCTCAAATGAAGAAGCGATCAAACGTCAAAGCTACTCTAGAACTGTGGCCCTCAACAGAGACAACTCTGCCCCCATGTGACAATGAGCCACGTGTGAAAAGTGTTTCCGGTTTTCGTGACTGGGGTGCCGCGGAAATCCGACTGTGCACACAGCAGCACCCCCAACACAGGTTTACCTGGCCCCGAATGCTAATGGTGTCAGGCTGAGGAACCCTGGCCTGGGCATCCGGCCAGAAGAAGTAACCTAAGCCTGGAACCAGCTGCAAAGTACTCTCTCCTCTCAACACGGGAAGCCTCATAATTACAACCATGAAGCTGGAGAGAGACCAATGATAATTTTAGTCCTACGTCTGCCTAGACTTGAAGACAGCGCCTCATCTGTAAAATGGGGACAAAACAGTACAGGTCAGCAGTGCTTGGCCTACGACTGCTTGGTAATACCTGTTCTCATGGGGTTTTCCTTTAGAACATAAATTGCTTGCTACTAGATATGAGAGGCTTTTTTTTTTTTTTTTTTGAGACAGGGTCTTCCTATGAAGTTCAGACCGGCTTCACACTATGTAGCCCGGGCTAGCCTCCAACTCGTGGTGATCCTCCTGCCTCAGCCTCTCTCAAGTGCTGGCATTATAGGTTTGTGCCACCACATCCAGAACCCCCTGCAAGTTTTTTGGGCTTGGGTGAGGGCCCACCTCCTGAGTACTGGGACTACGGGCGAGCCCCACCTCACCCAGTTTTTTATTCTTGCCCCTTTCTGAAGCAGTTCTGAAGGGGGATTAATAGCAATGTTATCTTGTACTGTAATGAATTTTGAAATTTAAACTTTCACCGTGTATTTTGATCATGCCTCATCCACTTGAAAACACCCATTTCAGCCCGTGGAGGCAGGGAGAGGGGTACTGATTAACTCAGAAAGGGCGCAGCTCAGCAAGGGAGCCAGTGGATCGCAGCCCGACACAACGGTCGCATCCAAGTAAACAGCTCAGATTGGGGGGCAAGTCCAACTCTGAAAGGGAGGTAGATCGAGAGGCACAGCCCCACCAATCTGGGAGCGCCTCTGGTCAGCCTCTGTCCTATCCTCCTCCCAGCCCTTAGCCCAGGGCAGACCACTTGCAGGGTGGGCACTGGGATCCAGCAACCCAAGTCCGGTATGCTGAAGTTGGCAAATCTGGACATTAAGGGCAGCTCTACCCCGGAACTGCACCTCCTGTTCCTTCACTGTCTGGAATAATAATAATACCCCGAGTTCCAGGAAGGAGAAGTGCAGATAAAAGCAAAACTGAGGGTCATGGCCATAATAATAGCCAGGCTCTGCCTGCGGGGAGGGCACTGTTCGAGACATTTTACGGATATTAACTCATTCGATCTTCACAATAAGACACAAGCCAAGTGCCTAACGCAGCGTTTGCACATTGTACGCATTGTATAAATATTACCATTCCACCTACCAGAAGAAGGGAGGCCCTGTTGTCTACCCAACCTTAAAATGAAAAAAGGGGGCAGAAGGAGAGGACGTTGGAAAGCCCGCTAGGAGGAGAAGAGGACTCAGGGAATCTCAAGGGCCTCTCAAGAAGGGAGATAGAAAGTAAGGCCGGCTAAGGGAGCTAGAGGCGTGGTGTGGTAAAAATAGACACGCTCCTCCCGGGAAGCCAAGCACGAGGGAGAAAGACGAAACGACGCAAGCCACTTTCCGGAGCGAGACACAGTCCCGAGCATTCCACCCGGCTGCAGGAAGAAGTTCCCCCTTGGCTAAAGGAAGGGGCCATCTGAAGGCGAAGGGCAGGGACTGAGGCACGTCCGTGAGAGAAGCCTGGGTGGAGACGGGAGGAAAGCGACTTCGGACGGAGGGAAGCTCCTGAGGACCCCTACCGGGGCCGATCAGCTGCAGGGATCAGCTCTCAGGACCCCGGGCAGCAGGCATCGCACCTGGGTCGGCCGGGCGCTCACTTACCCAGCCCCGCTCCAGGGGCGCACCGGCAGGAAGCGGGGGAGCAATCGCGGCTGCAGCAGCATCTTCTCGGACCCGGATAAATTGTCTGGTTAGCCTGAAGCGACCGCCCCGCGAGGCTGGAGTGCGCGACCTCGACGGGAACGCACCATCTCGGCGGGAGGGGGCGCCGCCTCGCCCTGGCCGGCCTCCCAGCTCCGAAGCCCTCTTTTCGGATCTACACCCTATAAGCAATAGTCTATCTGTGTTCGTTTTAAAGAGGTCGTTATGTAACGTGGACGAAGAAGTCTTTAAGAAAAGTCCTGAAATATATATATATATATATACGTTTTCTTCTCCTCTTTTTATGGTATGACCCAGGGAGAGTGGGCGTGAGCCCCACCGACTAATCAGAGAGGCACAGAGAAGCTCCTCGACCAATCAGCGGGTAGTCCTGCAGTACGCCGGCCTCAGGAGCCAATGAGAGAGCGCAGACAGAACTCGCGCTGTTGGTCCTGGGGTCTGTGGGCCTCCTCTCCCACCGCCCTTGTCCTGTGGAAGGCTAGGAACCTGGCAGCTACTGGATTCCTCGGCCCCCAGGGCCACACCGTGGCCACCGCCCTGTGATTAGCTTGCTTCCAGCTTCCTGGCCAGTGCCCAGCCGCCCTCTACCCCCACCTCGATGTGGCGCGGGGGCAGCCGCTTCCCAGAGCCTGCTGCCTTGACAGTTGCGATCAATAGGCGATAAAAGCCCTGTCGGCCTGTACTTTTCTTGCAAAGCTCCACCCCCGCCAGGAAAATTTAGCTTTTCTCCGTGAGTAGCTGTTCAATGAATATTGGGACATGCAGTATTTTACTTGAGACAGAGTCTCGCTGTATATTTACGCTCGTCTTGAACTCACCAGGCTGGGCTTGAACTCGTGGCAATCCTCCCGCCTCAGCCTCCTGAAGGCAATATTGGAAGGTATTTAAAACTCACATTCTAGTCTTCTCTGATGATAAGGTTTTAGGGGCTCATTCTGTTCCTAAATTAATGTTAAGGGTTTCACGCTGTTTCTTTTTTTCTTTCTTTTTTATTTTTTTTCCTTCTTTTAATTCTTCCAGCATCGTGAACCAAACTCCTGCCTGGGAGCCTGTTCTGGTTCCAGGATCTATAACAGGACACTGAGCAAATTCCACAGCCTCTGTGGGCCCGAGTTTCCTCTTCTGTAAAATAGAGGTAATAAGATCTCAGAACCGGCCCAACGTCTCAGGCCACTGGACTATCTCCAGATTTCACCATTTAAGACACATTGGGAAATTGTAAACCAAGGGTGGGGATCAGGAAAAGAAAGCTGTGTAAGTGTCCTGTCTTAGAGATGGCACAAAGCCAGTTGGAGTTGCTGGTTGCTGTTTCTCTTCATCCTTGGAGAAGACTCTGGCCAGGTGGGCAGCAGTGTGACCCTGAATATGGCCATTAACCAGATGAAACCAGAACACTGCGATATCACACCAGGGTCCCCGCAGGTGGCCTCTTGGCACTATGGGGAGGTTGGAGGTGTGCGGGGCTTTGTGGTCAACAGAATTTCAGTTCCCAAACCGCAGTGCCCTTTGGCCTTGTCCTCTGCCCCTCTCCTCCCCTTCTGTGAAATGTGTAGCATAATCCCCACCTTCTCATCCTCTGAAGATCTGTGAGATGCAAATTAACAAGTGGTATGAAATGTCCCTCCATCACTCACTGGCTAGTAAGTTTCAGTGTTTATGGGTCCTTAGTCTTCAGTCACTACTTTAACCCTCAGTTTTAAAAAAAAAACGGCACGACCAATTCTAAGACATTTCACTTTATTTAAAAGAAGCCAATATACAGGATATAAAGGGCACAATATTTACAACAGTACAGTAAACAGGTTAGTTTTCTGGTAGGATCAGTAGTCTTTCCATGAATATAAACCCCCCTCCTGGTGATGTTAGACCCAGCTGGCAGACAAACAGCAACAGTGGGATAGGGCAGCACTAAAGCCAGGTAGATGCTAAAATGTCCACAGGGGGTCTTGGCTGGGGCTGTACCTCATTTCCTTGAGAGCTTGGGAGAGAGAAGGGTGAGGGATTCACCCGAAACTAACACAAAGGCCACCTGAGACCAGAAATCTCCCACTCATAGAAAATCCCCTCCCAGAGAGTCTGACTTTCCTCATATCCCCCAGCCAACTCCAGGTTCCTGGTTCTAGGACAGTTGCCTTTCTAGAGCCAAACTCAGTATCCCAGGAAGAGGACCCAGGCCTGGGAAACCGCTGGCACTCTGGTCCATCCTCCCAGGAGCAGAGGATTGCAGCCCCACCCCCACCCCCGACCTGGAGCAGGCACAGCCAGGAGTGGGCTCTGGGCACCTTACTTACTGTCTCTCCTGTTCCAGCTGCCCGACAGCCTGGGACCCGAGAAGGCCCAGGCCCAGAGGAGGTTGTGAGCTCCCCAAACCCACAGCCCTACAGCCAACCACGCTGCTGCTTGTCAACCCGCTATCAACACAGTTGAGTCAGAAATGGGTCTTGGCAGAGCCGAGGGGGGGAGACTGATCAGAAAGAGCCTGCCCTCTAAAACTCAGAGTACTGGGAAGAGCGTGGCCCCACCCTAGCAACCCCCATCTGAACTCCTTGTAGCCCACCTGCCCCCCAAAGTGCCTCCCTACAAGACCTCCAAGGAGCTGAGGGGTCACAAAGAAACAGGTAAAGTGGGGCCTACCCTCTGCTGAAGCCACCCATGGGTGTGAATGATCAGGGTGTGGACGGGAAGGCAAGACGGGGCGAGGGGTGCCAGTATATTAAATCCAGCAGCAACATGCACAGTATCTTGTCCACAGAAAAATGCTGGCTACCACAACTGCCTACCTGAGATTAAAAACCCTTTGCTTTCATAAAAATAGATGAGTCTCTTGCTTTTTATAAATAGATTACATTTAGCTTAAGTTACACCGTATAGGATCCCCTACCCCACCCCCTCTTCTCCCGCCCCAAGCCAAAGCAGGCTGGAGCTCCATAGGTCATCTGTGCTCTGTCCCCAGAGCCGAGTCCATGATGGATGGATCCTCCGAGCCCCCAGGACGTATTGCCAGAAGGGAGCAAAAGGATAATATTTATCCCCGTTCAGTCTCAATCGACCAGGGAGCCCAAGGATGCTATTTCCCCTGCTGCTCCCTGATCCTCAGTGTGTATAAGACCCCCAAAACTCGGAGAGAGAGAGAGAGAGGGCAGCATGGGAGAACCCATCAGAGAACAATTCTAAAATACCAATGTCAATATGACACTGGGCTTAAAAATAGAAAAACCAAAAATCTAAGTATTTACAGCTTTACAAAGGGTGGGGCCAGTTCGTCCCAGCAGGGCCTGGTGCTGCCCCAGCAAGCAGTGGGGTCTTTCCGGGCAAGCTATCGGCTCACGGTGAAGGGACAAGCAGGGCCCACTGGCAACTAACTGAAAAATGAGTGGTTTTTTTAGTAGCGTAGGAGGTAGGCAGGCCCAGACCCAAGAGCCAGCCTGGAGGCAGGCCCACCACACCCTGCCCTTCAGTCCCTCATGTGCCTGGCCTGCCCCATGCTCCCCAGGGGGAAGCAGATATCGAAAGCCAGTAGGAAGGGAGTCTTAGGCCAGTGTCTCTCTCTGTCTCTGGCACCTGCTGTTCTCATGCTTCCTAGATAAATTCGGAGTCCCCTAAAGACAGACGACCTACGTATACAAGGGAGGAAACAAAACACCACCAGACACCCCTTCCCTTGGTAACCAAATACTAATCCCATCGCCTTTTTGTCTTAACCCTAAAGATATGTCTGTTACCCTCCCACCACCTTGAGGAACCCAGAACTGCATCCACTCTGCCCACCCAACCCCAAACCACCCCTGGATGCCTCTTTCAGTCCTGGGCAGTAAGACCCACAGGGCCACATCTTCTGCCCACGTGGAAACGGAAAATCTTTTCAGCAGCTGAGGTCCAAGCCCAAATGGCTCTGATAACCTTTGGTTAAAATAAAAATAAGGTAACAATAACAACATCCACAATAATAATCAAGTACGTTTGAACCCTGTAACCTTTGGAACGGTAGTTGGTGAGGAAGAGGGAAAGGGACTATCTCTCTTCCAAAACCACTGCTCCTTCAAGTACCTGCCTAAAGGGTCAGTCTGAGTAATAAGAGATGATGAAGATGGCCAGGATGGTGGTGGCACACCTGTAATCCCAGCACTCTGGGAGGCTGAGGCAGGAGGATCGCAAGTTTAAGCCCAGCCTAGACAACTTAGCGACTTAGCAAGACCCTGTCTCAAAGAAAAATTTTAAGAAAAGGGCTGGGGACATAGCTCAGTACAAAGGCCCTGGGTTCAATCCCCAGTACTGAAAAAGAAAAAAAAAATGGTGACGATGACAGAAGTCTCAGGCCAGAGTGCACAGGGACTGATGGGGTGTTTTCCCAACAGAACAAAGCAAAACAAGGGGAAAAACTCAGGAGAAAGGCCACCAAGTTCTGATAAATTACATCACACAGTCACTAACATTCTTGTTCTCTCTATATACATATGAATATTATGTACAATGGTTTTAAGATGCAAAACAGGAAGAGCAGGAGAGAGAGAAGGCCCTTACAGGCGGATGTTCGTCTGCACAAGAAAGTCAGGGGACCACCAACCCCTCCAGCCCAGCACCCTCTCGGACTTCTACATAGCAGGTAATGAGAGTTCTGGTCCTCAGGCACATTTTGCTCTTTTGACCTCCAGAGGGAGCTCTTCAGCCAACAAAACCCCAAACCGGCCATCACGCCCAACTATAGTGGACCCAAAAAGGGAGGGGAGAGGAGGGGAAAAAAGCAAAACCTGCTTGCTGGCCTGGTTCCCAGCTCAGATCAGCTGGGTGTTCTCAACATAGGGCCCTTCAATTCGGGGAGATACTGGCTCAGATTAACTCTTCAGGCGGTCAAATGAATCACGGAAAGCTTGCAAGTGTCCCTGAGAGGAATAAGGATGGTCCTCTCCCAAGCTCCTACACAAGCCATCTCCAAGCCCTCCCTCCCCTCCCCTGGCCAATGTGTCTTTGCTGTCAGTGCCAACAGCAGGCGACTACAGGACAGTGGAGAACCAGGACAGCGACGGGCTGGTGCTCCCCCGAGCCCCCCGGGGACTGAGTGGTACCGGGCTTGGCCTCATCTGACTTTCTCACAGAGAAATCACAGCTCGATAACCCCTCTCTGCTGGCCAGGGAGGGAGGGGAGAACATCAAGTCATCAGGACAATAGAAGATCCCCGCCCGCGCCCTAACCCCACAGAGGTCCCACAGAAACCGAGCAGTCCGGAGGCCTGGCCCTTGCAGGAGCACAGCCCACGCCATCGACCTGAACCAGACCCCTCCCCAGCCAGTGTTACCCTGGGAGGCTGCGAGAGAGAGAGAGAGAGAGAGAGAGAGAGAGAGAGAGAGAGAGAGA